TCAACATCGAAGGTAAATTAAAATATTAATTCTAAAAAAATTTTTTTTTAAATATAATAAAGAAAATTCTATTTTTTTAAATCCATTTAGAAGCCTACTTCTGCTTCTTTGCAAAACGATCTTCTTTTATACTTGAATACACATGATGAATTAAATACATGGTCATATGCAAATGAACATAATATTGATCATCAACTTGTCATTGGTACTTTTCGTAGTATTCAATCGATAGGTGATGTAAGTGAAATTTATTGAAAATTATTCATCATTAGTTGTTGTGGAATAGATTATCAATATGGAACAACGTACATCACGATCAATAGCACCAACTGATGAAGGAAAAACCTTAATTGCAAATGGAAGTTATGAATACAATTTATTTCAAGCTGTTCCTTCTAATAAAGGCATTGAACAGTCCGAACTTATGGTAAGACCTCTTTTTTTTTCTTATGATTGTTATTTTAGTATGTAGATGTCGTAGGATAAATTAAAATCCAGTTCAGTTTTAAATCGAACTAGGATAGATTGAAATTTTAATTATTCCTAGTTGAAATTAAAATTTTGAAGTCAACTAGTTGATATTGAAATGGGTTGCGAAGTGAACTAGTTGACTTCAATATTTTAATTTCAACTAGGAATAATTAAAATTTTGATCTGAGCTGTTCATAGCAGACTAGTTGATATTAAAATATCTTGATCCTAACTAATATTCATTTCAAAAAAGAAAAAGAGTAAGTATTTTTTGAATAACTTTTGATAGAAACTAAATAGAGAGGTTTGGTTTTCACCATTTAAAAGAGAAGATGAAACTGTATCGAATCATCTGTACCAGATTTTTTTAAACAAATGTTCTCAGAGTCTCTCGCCAATTTCTTCAAAAAAATCCAGGCTTTTGAATAAGTTCATAAGGTGAATTTTTCGCTAAAAAAATGAGAAAAAAGTCCATTTTTTATGAAAAATCTACCGATAACATGCAGTAAAATGTGTATAACTCATGATTAGCTATAGCTTACAACATCGGACTTTCAGAATGTATAGATCTTCAGTTAAAGATTCTAATGCACTCCCTAAAATTAAGATCATAAAAATTTTACATTAAAAAATCTTTTTTGTTTAACAAACTTGATGGTAGACTGTGGGTAAACTTGTTAAAAAAATCTGGTACAGATGATTCGATACAGTTTCATCTTCTCTTTTAAATGGTGAAAACCAAACCTCTCTATTTAGTTTCTATCAAAAGTTATTCAAAAAATACTTACTCTTTTTCTTTTTTGAAATGAATATTAGTTAGGATCAAGATATTTTAATATCAACTAGTCTGCTATGAACAGCTCAGATCAAAATTTTAATTATTCCTAGTTGAAATTAAAATATTGAAGTCAACTAGTTCACTTCGCAACCCATTTCAATATCAACTAGTTGACTTCAAAATTTTAATTTCAACTAGGAATAATTAAAATTTCAATCTATCCTAGTTCGATTTAAAACTGA